CATACAAATGTCAGATGATGTGTGTGAATTCACATAGTGAGCCACTTACATTACATTCCTGAACTGCTGTTTCCCCTTATCCTAGTCATATTGTTGTAACCCAGATTTCAAAAGGACCCTCCTTACTTCTCAGAGAACTAAGACTAACTGTCCAAGACCACCAACAATTCCACTTCCTGTGGAAGTCTGAATGTCTTCCCAGGGCTTATATTCACTCTTCTTCCCCCAAATACCTGCATCCTAGTGTGCCCTCTTTGTACAGTACTACACTGAGTTTCTCAGAAAGAATCCACTCATACAAAAGCATTAATGAAGCAACCCTAAATGACTCCCTAGATCAGATGGACTTAGTCGACATCTTCAGAACATTTCACCCCAAAACTACAGAATATACATTCTTCTCAAGTGCACATGGGACATTTTTGAAGATAGACCATATATTGGGACATAGGCAACGTCTCTTTAAATTCAAGAAATCATATCAAGCATTTTCTCAGATAACAATGACATAATATTAGAAATAAATTACAATAAAAATTCAAACACTTGGAGGCTAAATAGCATGTTACGAAACAATGATTGGGTTACCAAAGAGATTAAAGAAGAAATAAAAAACATCCTGGAAACAAATGACAATGAAAACACAACAATCCAAAATCTATGGGACACAGTGAAAGCAGTCCTGAGAGGGAAGTTCATAGCATTACAGGCCTACCTCAAAAAACAAGAAAAAATGGTAATAAATTATCTAACTCTATAACTTAAAGAATTAGAAAGAGAGCAACAAGAAAAGCCCAGAGTGAGCAGAAGGGAGGAAATAATAAAGATCAGAGTGGAAATAAATGACATAGAGACAAAAAATATATATATACAAAAGATCAATAAAACCAAGAGCTGGTTATTTGAAAGGATACACAAGATTGATGAACCTCTAGCCAGGCTCACCATGAAGCAAAGAGAGAGGACCCAAATAAACACAATCAGAAATGATAGAGGCGAAATAACAACAGACCCCACAGAAATACAAAGGATTGTTAAACAATACTATGAACAACTCTATTCCAACAAACTGGTCAACTAAAAGAAATGGACATATTCCTAGAAAAAGACAATCTTCCAAAACTCAATCAGGAAAAAAATAATCTGAATAGGCCAATAACTATGGAGGAAATCGAAGCAGTCATCAAAAAACTTCCAGCAAACAAAAGCCCTGGTCCAGACGGCTTCACAGGGGAGTTTTACCAAACATTCAAAGAAGAACTAAAACCTATCCTCAGAGTATTCCAAAAAATTCAAGAAGAAGGAACACTTCCAAGCTTTTTCTATGAAGCCAGCATTACCTAATCCCAAAACCAGATAAAGACACTACAAAGAAAGAGAATTACAGGCCAATATCTCTAATGACCATAGATGCTAAAATCCTCAACAAAATTCTAGCAAATAGGATCCAGCATTACATTAGAAAGATCATACACCATGACCAAATGGGATATATTCCAGGGATGCAAGGCTGGCACAATATCCGCAAATCAATAAACATGATACATTACAGAAACAAATTGAAAGATAAAAATCACATAATTGTATCAGTTGATGCAGAAAAGCATTTGACAAAATACAACACACTTTCTTGATAAAAACTCTCAGCAAAGTGGGACTAGAGGAATCATACCTCAACATAATAAAAGCCATATATGACAAACCTACAGCCACCATCATACTCAATGGGCAAAAACTAAAACCATTTTCCCTAAGAACTGGAACAAGACAGGGATGCCCACTCTCACCACTCCTGTTTGACATAGTACTGGAAGTGCTAGCCATAGCAATCAGACAGGAAGGAGAAATAAAACTGTCATTATTCTCAGATGACATGATATTGTACATTGAAAACCCTAAAGAGTCCATCAAAAAACTATTAGATTTAATAAATGAATTTGGCAATGTAGCAGGATACAAAATTAATACCCAGAAATCTATGGCTTTTTTATACACCAATAATGAACTCACAGAAAGAGAAACTAAAAAAACAATCCCATGTGCCATTGCATCAAAAAACTTAAGATACCTAGGAATAAACTTAAGTAAGGAGGTAAAAGACCTGTACTCAGAAAACTACAAGACATTGAAAAAGGCAATAGAAGAAGACATAAATAAATGGACACTTTTCAAAAGTGGACATACAGAAGTTCAAGAGACATGAAGACATGCTCAAAGTCGCTAATCATCTGAGAGATGCAAATCAAAACAACGAGATACCATCTCACACCTGTCTGAATGGTTATCATCCAGCAATTGACAAGTGCTGGCAAGGATGTGGAGAAAAAGGAACCCTCGTGCACTGCTGGTGGGAATTCAGACTGGTGCAGCCACTGTGGAAAACAGTATGGAGTTTCCTCAATAAATTAAAAATGGAACTCCCATTTGACCCAGTAATCCCATTTCTAGGAATATATCCCAAGAAACTAGAAACACCAATCAGAAAGGACATATGCATCCCTATGTTCATAGCAGCATAATTTACAGTACGACAGCTAAGATTTGGAAACAACCTAAGTGCCCATCAGCAGATGAGTGGATTAAAAAAATGGTACATCTACACAATGGAATACTATGCTGCTGTAAAAAAGAAAGAACTCTTACCATTTGCAACAGCATGGATGGACATGAAGAGCATTATGCTAAGCAAAATAATCCAGTCACAGTAAGGTAAGTATCACATGATCTCACTCATTTGTGGAATATAATGAACAACATAAACTGATGAACAAAAATAGAGACAGAGAAGCATCGAACAGACCGTCAAACCTCAGAGGGAAGGCAGGGGAGGAGGATAAGAGATCAACCAAAGGACTTGTATGCATGCATATAAGCATAACCAATGGACACAGATGCTAGGGAGGTGAGGGCATGTGCTGAGGGGTGGGACCAGCCTGGGAGTGATCAATGGGGGGGAAAGGAGACACGTAACACTTTCAACAATAAAGGAAGGAGGGAGAGAGGGAGGGAGGGAGGAAGGAAAGAAGGAGCCAACCACAGAAGTCCACATCTATCTAATAAAGAGGGGATATGCTAATTGACCCTCACATCATCACAAAGATGGTGGCACCCACAGCCAATAAGGAAATATGCTAATTGCCACACCCTCAAAGATGGCGGTGCCCAGTCCCCTCAGCCCCACCGGGGCAGCAGGCACATGGCAAGGCTGGGCTTGCCCCCAGGCAGGCCCAGCTGCTCCGCGTGCCTGCCTCCGGAGACCCCTCAGCCCCGCAGCCGCCCAGGTCCGGCCCAAGGCTCAGGTAACCAGGGCCGGCCAAGGCTTGCGCTGCTGGCAGTGGCAGCAGCAGAGGTGTGATGGGGCGTCGCCTTCCCCTGATCACTGGGTCGCCTCCTGCCCCTGAGGGCTCCCGGACTGTGAGAGGGGGCAGGCTGGGCTGAGGGACCCCTTTTCCAGTGCATGAATTTTCATGCACCGGGCCTCTAGTATTATTATATGCTTCTGCTCATATGAAAGCCCAGTATAGGAACCTCTAAAGAGACAGAGCTAGATTAGTGAATGATTAGTTGGGAGTGAGGGGAGGTAGGGTCAGATAAGGTGGGGAGGATGAGCAGTGATGGCTAAAGCATCAACATGATGAAAATGTTCTAAAATTGGCAGTGGTGATGGGTGCACATATCCAAATATACTAAACCTGAGAAGTTGGGTGTAGTCAGGGGTTTGTTTAGTTTGTGGAACTAGAAGACCTCCAAGTAAGATTAGTGGAAGTTAAAGGGGAGCCTAGTAGTGTATCAGCAGGTGCACTTGTTTCCTCATCTGTAAGAGATTTGGATTTGAAAGGCACTATTTACAGGGATTGAGAGCAAAGATTTTGGAGCACAATTTGCCTGATTTCAGCTATTCACTAGCCTTTTCATCTTGGACATATTTATTCTCTGAGCTTCAGATTATGTAAGATGGGGATAATTATATACCTACCTAATATAACTGCTGTGGGAATATGTATACACACACATTCTTATTAGAACAGTACCTGCTGCATAGTAAGCTTACTGTCATAAAATTGAGGTCCTTTTCAGATCTATTAGGTTACATGGTCAATTTCTGCCAGCCTGGCATTCCAAGGTAGAGATCTGAACCAGAGATGTAGGCTAATCATTTCCTGCCTATAATGTTCTCAAATACTTGGTATGAGATACCCAAGAAGAAAATGGAAAGAACATGTGAATAGCAAGGACAGAGTGTTGAGGAATATTATATTTGGGAACAAGAGGCAGGAGTATATAGAAGGGGCCAATAAAGGAACATTCAGAGATAGAGATGGAAAACTAAGAAATACTGTCATGAAAGCCAAGTGAAACAGAAAAGAAGCTCCAGGGAAGGCAGCCTTTTAGAGGAGAGGCCACTTGAGCCGAGTGTGAAGGTTGTGGGACATATCTGATGGACAGGGAGACGTTCAAGATGAAAGCAGAGGAAATTAATTGATGAAGCAGTTTTGCGATGATTCAAGAAGAAGGAGGATAATTTCTTGGAGTTGGAATAAAAGAAGGGAAAGCTGTATTTTGATACAATCAAATTGGAGTTGGGAAAGTTGGAAGCTGGGGAAGCTCATGTTGGATAACTTCAACTTTTTCCCAAAAAACTAGGAAGCAAAGCCATCTGGAAAGAGAGGAAAGAACCATGTTTCTAAGCAGCTTTAAATATTTTCCCTAATTCTGCCTTTTGTATGAATGAAAAACAAATGATCCATGTCAGTTATAATGGGTAATATTTACTGAGCCTTTAATATCTTGCTAAGAGCTTATTTCAAACTTAAAACATCCCTCACAGGCAAATGGTATCGGTATCATATCTACATATTACAGAAGGTGTTACACGAGAAAGCTCAAGGTTATCTAGCTAATAAGAGGTATAACCAACACTTTATATGAAATACATCACTTGACCTATATCGTAGGGATGTGGAAAGTAAGATTTTCTTTGCTTTTATATTTTGTAACAGGTGACAACCAAAGCCAAACAACTGAAGGATTCAGTCACCTACTCCCCAGGTGAGTTAGCATCTACTTCACCCCATTAATCCAAAGCAGTTTCTTTAAAATAAATCCCTTTTTATAACATCTTTAAATCCGATGGTGTAATAGCTTTGACCAATGAACTCTATTGGCCAAACCTCTAAAAGGTGTCAAATTAGCCCTAGCTGGTTTTGCTCAGTGGGTAGAACATCGGCCTGTGGACTAAAGGGTCCCAGGTTCTATGCTTGTCAAGGGTACATGGCTGGGATGCAGGCTTGATCCCCAGTGCGAGCGTGCAGGAGGCAGCTGATCAATGATTCTCTCTCATCATTGATATTTCTCTCTCTTCCTCTCTGAAATCAATAAAAATATTTTTTTAAAAATAAAAGGCGTCAAATTATAGGAACCACTAGCCAATTCAGCCCTAAACATATAGTGGGTGCTAAGATGTATGTGGTAAGTTTAAAGAATTATAAAAAACCTTGTTCTCCTCTAGTTTGGGGTCAGGGACGAAGGGGACTGTGTGCAGTGTCCCTACACCGCCCCACCCCAGTGATCCACACACTGCCCTCAGAAGAGCAACAAGCAGTTTTCCCAAGGATCTATGTTTCTCCAAATGTTTCTTCCAAGACTAACTGGAATTTTGTTAGTGTCTCCGTACTGTTTGCCTAGAACCAGGAAGTAAGAAAATGCCTCCTAAACCTTCCAACTTAACCTAAATACAGGTCCCAGGGAGTTTAGTGCAGGTGAGCAACCCTGGAGGTGCCCGAAGTCGTCCCCAGGAAGGGCTCAGCATGGGGGCTGCAGGCTTTAGGAAAGGGGGCATTTCCAGATCCTTTTCTACCAATAGAGTTATTTGTCTGGGCATGGAGGCAGAAATCGGCAGTGAGATGTTGTGTGAAAGAAGCTGACCTCCAAAGATGCATTCTGGAAAGGCAGTGTGGTGTAGCCAAGTGAACAGACAGGCGGGTCCTGCCAGAGCATTGGCGGAGGGGTGGGAGGGGTGCAGTTGGGTGTTTCAGGGCATCTCTGAGGCGACACCCGTGGCTGGGAGGCAGGGTCAGTTTGCCCACTTTCTGCCGAGCGCTGAAAGGAACAGGTGTCGGTCACGGTGGCACCGGAAGTGGCTTTGAGTAGAGAGCAGATCCCACAGGTGCGTAGTCACCTGCAGATGGTGGCGCGGCGTGAGCTCGGACAGACCCGCTTTAGTTGTGCTAATGGAATTAAGGGCAACTCTGGATAGTGAAGAACCACCTTCCAAACCTCAAAAGTAGCAGCTGTTCCTCGGAGGCCTGTGCACTCTGATCACGGTGGGTTCCAGGTACACCCACTGCTCCTCAGAGTGGTGGGACCAGGCAGAGCGGGTTCAGGTCCCCCCCGCCCCCCACCTCTGCTGCCTCTGAGGCTGACTTTCCTCATCGGTAAAATTAGGACACCGATACCTGTCCTAGAGCAAAGTAAGAATTAAGTGAGATGACACATGTGAAATGCCTGGGACATCGCCTGCTGTGTGAGAGGCCGCTGTCCCTCTCGTCTCCTGACGTGACCCTTTCATCTGTGTGAGTGCCCTTTCCCACAGGGACGGTGAGGCTCTCTGAGCTCAAGTCAACAGCTCAGCATTCCAGGCCCGGCAAGGCCACCGTGGCCCTGCCCGACGACATCATCACCCAGCGGGAAGACGCCCAGCAGGCCGCGGGCGCTGGGCAGGACAGCGAGCAGGAGCAGGAGGAGCAGGAGGCCGCGGTCCCGGAAGGCCAGCCGAGGAGACGCAAGCCAGCCAGGCTGCCCGAGGCAGCGGCGAAGGCAGAGCCAGAGGAGAAGTTCCGTGGAAGGAGGCAGAAGGACTTTGATATATCAGAACAAACCACATCGAGCGACGAGGAGAGCCAGAGGAAAGAGAGAAGCCGCACTGCAGAGGAGCCATGGACTCAGAATCAGCAGAAACTTCTGGAATTAGCATTACAGCAATACCCAAAGGGATCCTCTGACCGCTGGGACAAGATCGCCAAATGCGTCCCGTCTAAGAGTAAGGTGGGTGAGGCGGGGAAAGGTGTGAGAGCCACCGCAGTGACCGCAGCCAGCTCTGCCCCGTCTCGGTCACAGCCCCTGTCTGCAGCTGTCCTGGGAGCTCGGGCCTCCGGGCTCTCCCCGGGACCTGTGCACTCGCTGGTTAGTGTGCATGAAGGAGGTCAGCAGTCTAAGTGGGCCATTATACAGACCAGGTAGTTTTCCTGAGAAAATTCCAGGCATGGAACATAAATGTCACCCTCAGTCACCCCGCCAGCCTCTGGAGCATTTGCTCTCCCAGGTGGCAGCTCCCTCTAAGCAGAGTGAGGAGGTTTCTCAAAATCACGGGCCCCCGAGCTCTGTGACGAGCCTTTAGCCAAGGGGAGGTGTGGTCCCAACTCTGCATGTGGCTCTGGACTCAGCAGTAGCGGGCAGCTGACCGGAGACCCTGGAAGCATGTTTGTATGTGGAGTCAGTGTGAGAATGACAATGACATTTAGGGTTCAGCTTACCCTCTGTAGCCTTGACTTCCCCATTTAGTATCTGCTTCAGTACATCTGCAGATAGTCCTCAGATTAAAAACTCAGACAGGCGGGAAGATGGTGTCCCTGGGGAACGCCAGCCCCACCCGGCCTTTGCCCTCTGCTCGGCCAGTGGAGTTCCTCTCCGTGTGGTCTTTCCTGCTCTGCCCTTGCCCGACACTCAGTCTCCAGGGCTTCTCTCCTTGCGGCCATGCTCTTCTGTCTGAGGCACCAGGAACACTGAGAAATCAAAGAACCAATCTCTTCTGCCTTCTGTGCCTTTTACTCAGTAGCCTCTGGGCACATTGATGTTCATTTACATTCTTATTTTTTTAATTGAAATTCTATGTTGGACAATCTAGCTTGTGGCCATGAATGCCCCCAGGTGTACAGGTCTCGTTATCTATCACCTACTTTAAAATGAGGAGTCAAGGTTTCCCACGGAGAAAAATAAAACCATTGTCAGTTGATCTATTTGAGAAGCACAGACTCCCCCTGCCTCTCCAACTGCTTTACCAGAAGTAATTATTTTCCCTAAATTTCTCCAGCATCTGTCAGGACACAGGCATCTGCCTATGTGATGAACTGACGTTGGCGTAAAAGGAAGGAGAGGGGACTGGATTCCTTAGGACACTTAGAAACTCACTGACTTGGAGTTTGGGAACCTTCCTGTCTCAACCAGAAATGAGCAGCTTTTCCTGTCCTGCAGAAGTTCCCTTTCAGCCCTGACCTTAGATTCGGGTCCAGGAAAGGCTGCGGGGCTTGTCTGCTGTGCAGTGACTCCATGAGTGGCCGGAGGGGGAGGTCCACGGCAGCCTTTGGAGAGGGGCAAACCCGAAGGAGAATATCCTGGATGCGTGGCCTCGCGTTTTTTGGTTTCTCTGAAATGACATGTTGTGATGAAATAGTGAAATGTTAAACATGATCGTTATAGTTAGCAAAGTGAACGTCATGGTCACAATGATAGTAGGCCTCACAGACAGCTGCCACTGGCCCCTCACCTAGCGATTCGCACCACGCCCTGAGCTGGACGTTCAGCTGGCCGCCTCCTTGCACCTGTCTAGCCTTACCTTCCTGTGACCACCCAGACTCACCTGGGAAATTCTAGGCAGGTCCTGTGCAGAGTGAATGGACATGAGACTGTCTCATTATCACTGGGCACAGCTGACAGACAGACTTACCCAGGAAGTAATTGTTTTACCTCTCTGGTTTGTGGAAGTAATTGTTTCACCTCTTTTTCTTTCTACAGGAAGACTGTATCGCTAGATACAAGTTGCTGGTTGAACTGGTCCAAAAGAAAAAACAAGCTAAAAGTTGAATATTCTGGAAGATGATGTTCACCTTCATTTTCCAAAATGAGTATTTTAAAACTCTTATGCAGAAATTTGCATTTTGTACCTCAGCATTCTATGAATCATGTGCCTTAATAAAAAAATAATAATAAATTTAAAATAAATGTTGTGCTCTACTGTTTAAACAAATAGTGAGTTAAAGGAGAAAAAGAATTGGGGTATTTTACCACTTATTCTCTCATTACTACCAACTTTTCTTTCATGGGGAACAAACTGAATAGTGCCTTCCAGCAATTAGACAAATACATGATTTTGAAGGAATAGATGAATAGACCAGCGATTTTCAACATTTTTCATCTCGTAGCACATAAACTAATTACTAAAATTCTGCAGCACACCAATATATATATATATATTACATTATTTGCTGATCAGACAAAAAAAAAAGGGTATTGTTGTGTTGGCTGTTGCCATTTTTTTGACAGTCTAAGGGAAAAGAGGTCAGTGCCCCTGACTAAATAGCCAGGTGTTGCCCTAGCAGGCTTGGCTCAGTGGATAGAGCATCGGCCTAGGGACTGAAGGGTCCCTGGTTCGATTCCAGTCAAGGGCACATGCCCTGGTTGTGGGCTTGATCCCCAGTAGGAGGTGTGCAAGAGGCAACCAGTCAGTGATTCTCAACATTGATGTTTCTATCTCTCTCTCCCTCTCCCTTCCTCTCTGAAATCAATAAAAATATATTACAAATAAGTAAATAGGGGTTGCATGTTTCAACAATTCTTGTGGCACACGGGTTGAAAAATCGCTGGACTAATGTGTAAGAATTAAAACCGAATGTGTTTCTTTGACCAGAGAACTCCCCAGTTAATGCGTTTACTGGTGGCAGAGTGCAGGTGCCTCGGGAGAAAAATCCAGCTTGGTAGTTAGGAAAGTGGCTAAGAAGTGTGTGAGATTATCCTAGTGATACGTATCTGTAAGGAAAAAAGTCCAGGAACAAGGACATAAATAAGGTAATAACCTCTGAATTTGTTCTTGACTGATAGGATTTCCAGAGAACATGCAAAAAAAGGTTTTTAAGAACTGATGAAATTGGGTCTTAAGTTAAAAATCACTATTTTGTCCTATTAATTTTTTTAAATATGTATTTATTGATTTTTAGATAGAGAGGAAGGGAGAGAGAGAGAGAGAGAGAGACATTGATGAGGGAGACACATCTATCGGCTGCCTCCTACACACCCCCTACTTGGGATCGAGTCTGCAACCTGGATATGTGCCCTGACCGGGAATCGAACCCGGGATCTCAGTCCACTGAGCCATACCAGCCGGGCTGTCCCGTTCATTTTGATTGAACTTTTCCTTACTGTTTGTGTTTAAACTGTCACCATCAAGCTGAGTGTTGCTGTTTATATTTTCTATCATTTGCTCAAGGCTCAGAAACAGTTTGCTAAGTGTAAACTGCCTAAACTTAAACCATTCAGATCACCAAAACACATTTCAGGGAAGTGATTTGATAAAATATCTACAAAGATGCCGTATTTCTGTAAGGATGGAAACCAGGTTACAGTTTCCCTCTTTTCCGGTTCCTCCCCTAGAAAACCAGGGATGATGGTAGCATTCCGTCACCCTGCCAAC